GTGGGTAAGCCGAGGTCGCCGCCGTGCCTCGATTGAACGCCTGTCGGAAAACCACGGCCATCGAGACGCCAGATAAGGAGGGCGTGGGGGACAGCTGCCACAACTCTCTCCCCCCAAACGGTAAACGGATTGAAATCGTTGATACTCTAGCCACCAACAAATCTGTCAGGACAGTGGAAACTACAACCGGACATAGTGTGGCGACTCGGGAGCGATTATACTCCAGTTGGTGATGGTAGTGGCGTCACCGTATGTGGCTGGGCGCTGTGTGAAGTTGAGATTGTTTCCAGTTCTTCAAAGTAGGCGGGTTTGACGCGGTCAATGCTGACAGTGTCTGAATTGCCTTTGCAACCTATGACAAAATCCTTGTCAGATGTCCGAACAACTTTGTAAGGCCCGACATAAGGTTGCTGTAGTGCCAGCGAACAGCGTCATGATGGAATAGGACGAATTTGCACGTGTCGAAGTCGGGAGGGATGAAGGAAGTGGCCAGTGACGCTCGAGGGGGTGTTGCGCGGAGATTGTGCATGACACTGCGTAGTCGGTCAACATATCTGCTAGTATCAAAAGACGTTAGCGTATTTGAATGAAGAATAACTCACCCGGCAGACGTGGGAGAGTTCCGAAGACAATATCAGCTGCAGTAAAACCGATGTCCGCTTTAAGATTAGAACGGATGGACATCACTAGAAGGGGATTGTCGGACCATCGGGAAGGACCGAGCTGCGCCATGAGGGCTGTCTTGAGCTGCCGATGGAAACGTTCCACGAGGCCATTGGCCTGGGGATGCTAGGCCATTGTTCGAATGCGGTTAGTGCCAAGAAGGGAAGTGAACTGCCGGAACAGCGCGGACTCTAACTGGGATCCGCGGTCAGCTGTCACAGTCGCAGGAATGCTAAAGTTGGATACTCAATTAGTAAAGAAAACCTTTGAAACGGTATCGGTGCGGATGTCAGGAATGGGTGCAGCAACCTGCCACCGAGTAAATCGGTCAACACAAGTCGGCAAATAAGTAGAACCGATAGAAGGTGAGAGAGGACCTACCAGGTCAAGGTGGATGAGACTAAAACGCGTATCAGGATTGGCGAAAGTGCCTATTGGGGACGCGGTATGTCAATGAATTTTCGTCCGTTCGCATGGGAGACATGATCGGGTCCAAAGCCGAACATCCCGGTTGGTGTTGGGGCAGAGGAATCGGTCAGTGATGAGTTTCACTGTCGCCCGAACTCCAGGGTGGGATAGACCATGAAGGACGTTGAAGATCTGTCGTTACAAAATTTCTGGCACAAAGGGACGTTCGTGTCCTGTGGAAATGCCACAAGTGATGGGAGCAGCTCCGGTGGGAAGAGGGACATCCGGAAGAACTAAACAGGAAGCTTTGCGGCGAAATCGGGGATGTTCCTCGTCAGATTGTTGAGCTTCAGCCATGAGCATGAACTCGATGGGGGTGTGTTGCAACTAAGTCCATCTCAATTCCTTATAGAAAATCAACAACTATATTTCCTTACCATGGACATGTTTGATGTAACAGGAAAACTGAGAGATGACGTCTAGACGACGAATCTCGCGAGATGAGTATCGATCGGGTGTGGTCCTTAAAGCGAAAACAAGGGGCTTGTGATCCGTGTGTACGACAAATTCACGACCCTTGAGAAAGTGTTTGAAATGGCTAGGATTCGCCGGCTGAAGACACTGTAGCGAGTCTCTGCTGGGCTAAGTTTTTTTGAAAAGGAAGCCAGAGGCTGATGGACACCACCAACAGTTTTCTGGAGGGATGCACCAACGGCAGTGCTGGAAGGATCTATCATGAAAGTTAAATGAGCATCTGAATGGGGATGGGCAAGGAGATTTGCTTTCGGAAGAGCGGCCTTGACGTCGTTGATGGACTTCGCGGCCTACTCGCTCATCGTCAGCGTGATCTTTGAGCAAGCCAAGGTACTGTTGAGTGGCTGAAGGATATTGGCACAGTGGAATAGAAATCGATGGCAGTAATTTATCATACCCAAGAAGCGACGTAATTGATTGAGTGTCGTAGGGATTGAAGAGTTTGCAATTGCTTAAAACTTTTCAGGGACGGGTTGTATCCCATCTGCGTCCGCTACGTGACCCAGGAAAAGAAGTTGAAGCAGGCAGTGACTGTGGCCGATTATAGTGAAGGTAAACACACCGGGTCTACGCTACTCTCTGACCGCACCCGCAACGGGCACCGGTTGTCAAGACAGATTCAAGAAGGCCGGAAATGCCGGAGGACGCAGACGGCTGGCGCGACAAGCACTCAACACGCGTACTAAACAGCACTTCTTGCTATGTAGGCTCCCGCACACAGACAGCCACTACACACAACAAGACACACTGGACTGACTGTGGTGTCCAAGGATCGACCTCAAACTCTCCCCCACTGCCAGCAACAGACCACCGCCTAGCCATCGGCCGCCTCGGGTGGTATGGGCGCAGGCTGAAAATAAAAACAGGTACTTGA